TATCCCATTTGACATTTCTGACTAGACTCAGAAAACATTCTTGGCAGCTACTTATGCCTTATTTCTACTTCTAGCCAGTCTCTCTGTTGCCGTAGATGGCCTAGAGCATGCTATGTAGACCAGGCTGGCCTTGTTCTCACAGATATCCACCTGCCTTTGCTTCCTGAGTTCAGGTATTGAAGGCATGCACCACCACACCGGCTAACAGGCACAATTTTTAAGATACCATCAATTCTCATGCGTGATATTCTATGTGTGTTAACTGATCATCCTCTCTTGCCCACATTTGATTCATTCTCTATTCTATATTCAGAATGATCTTTCTAAAACAAAGTTGGATACTAGTCACACATACACACACACTACACACACACAAGATTATTTTGTCACACATATGAATAATGGGTGGGGCATTAGAAAGTTTCATGGAGCATAGATGGTTTCTCATTAGAGAAGACCAGTGCCCACATTTGAAGACATCTAACATCTCTTCCCCTTGTCCATTAAATGCTGCAGTTGCTATCACTAATCACTGTAACAATCAAAATATTCCCACTGCTTTCTAAAATGTTTTCCTAAGGGCTGGGCATCTTTAAAACTATTGTCATTAAGTGTAACTTTCTATCACCCAAAGGTTTAGACTTTTACTTTGCATACAAGTAGGACCCCTAAAAATCTTGTGTTTTGAATATAACAAAGGAAATTTAGGATGAGACAGTTGATTTCCATGATTCCCACACTATGAGTAGATGTGTTTGCAAAGGCTAGGACAGCAAATATGGGCAGCTACTAGGTACAAAATAAGTAGGCATATTTATTTTCTCATGTTCCCCAAGCACAAATTTAGCATCCTTGAGCTGTGAGGATTGCACTAAGGTTGTGGTATGCAAAGAGAAATGCATGAGACAGTTACACCAAAAAGGGACCCAGTGCTGAAAAAGAAGTGGAATGTATCTAGCCTCCTGGCAGTTAGTATAGCTCATAAAAATGACTTTCTCTTAACAGCAGTTTTTACAATGTTGTGCTTTTATTAAAAATCCCAGTTTTTCTCCTGAGAGAATCGTTCCGCTACAGCAACAAGCAGAAACAAAGCAGAGTGGGTGACATCCAAGTAGCAACTTTGGAGCCATAATGTACATATCGTATACCATAAACACTGTCACTTCGTGTAAACTGGCGAGAGTGGGGTAAGAAGCTTGTTATTATGGAAATCACTGTAACACTTCTCAGTTCTACAGATGTAGACTAAAAAAAACCCACAACCGTATCGAAATGGAAACAGATTGCTGGATTCTACAGGAAGGTTGACAGGCAGTGAACATTTCTGTTAAGAAAACCTTCCCACCTAACTCTTTCACCTCTGGGGTTGATGCTGTCTTGAACTGTGGGATGCTGCTAAAGGATATGGTGACTCAGTAGCAAGGTGGCCTGGGTAGCAAGGTGGCTCTGTTATGGAAGCCAATGTAAGTCCAGAAATCAAGAACCACCAATCACTCGTTCACTCTGCAAATACAGAACATCTACTCTGGCCATGTGCTGTTTAGTTGTTGTTGTAACAGCAAAGAAGATAGAGTTCTTTTCACAGGTTCATTTATGTCTGAAAGTAAGTATGTAAATATGTATATATGTATTTGATAGTTACAAGAAGAATATAAAACAAAGTTAATACTTATGGGTGATTGAAAGTAAGAATAGAAAGCTGTTTGTTGGGGCGATCAGTGAAGGTCTCCATTGAATTATCAGAAGTCTTTTCTGTCTGAGGTGGTTACCTAGGAACAAAGATTTGAATGATGGCAACAGTATTCACTTAACAGTATTCACTTACTCCACTTCCTTATCTCAAAGCCTTTGGGCTGAGTGTAGTAGGCCTCTTAATGTTGAATTCCTTCATTCCTAATGGAATTAAAACTCTTCAGGAGACATCTGTGATTCTTCCTTACCACAAATGACTACATTGTATACTCTCAGGAGACAAGTATAGTAAAGCAAAAATAGTAAAGCAAAAATCTTTGGCTGGAAAGCTGGGTCCTGGTTCTGACTGATAATAGACATATTGGTCATAGGTAAGACAAGCACTGGGCTAGCTTTGCCTCTTAGTAAAGTGAAAACACCTTGTATTCTTTGTAAAGGAGGCCCATGCCTGAATTGATCCCTACTGTCTTTCTAGCATCCAGCACACAGGGTCTGGCAACTCTGAAGTCTCATTAAAGCCTATTATTGTTGCTTTTTTTTTTTCATTAGCTGATAAATAAGATTTCTTCTAACCCTAATAGTCAACTAATTTAACTCAAGGTCTTTATGATAACAGCAACACATCATTTTTTTCTGATCCTGCCACATCTGGCTCTACTATAGAGAGGTCATATCTTCTTTTTGGGTCTCATTTCTCCTCATCCATAAACTGAAGAAGTTTATCTCAGCAAATTGTCCTTTCTCTAGAATTACAAATTTGCAATAAAATTGTATCTCCAATACACTAGAGGGACCCCGTGGTGAATTTTAAAAATAAGAACGCAGTAGAATTCTTTCCTAATTGACATGCATCATTTCTATATTTTCCTTCCGGTTAACTCTTATCATATGAGGCTATGCTGTCCTTAGAGGAGGCATGTCAGGGTTTTAAAGCATCACTATCACTTGCTTGCACTGAGTTGCCTGGATCACTTCTCCACTCTTGAATAACATACAAGGTGTTAAGGGAAGATGTGAGCACAGAAAATTAACATTCTTCTGGAATGATATTCTGTTTGGGGTTGGCCTCTGTCTCTGTCTTTGCCCCTTTTCTCTCCTTACTTTCCACCTTCCCACCTTCCCTTCCTCTATTTGTTCCTCCTTTTCTACTTTCTCATAACTGTTTGTTTGCCCTGGATCTTTGATCCTGGTGGGAATCTTGTCAACATTTCCAATATATTATTTCCACATAGGGAAGACTTTGAAAGTATTTCTTTTCCCGGGAATGAAATCAAGGGCAGTGGCACAAGCTTTTTAAAAAATCCTTTAGAAATAAACAAGTAAAGCAAATATTGGTAATAATTAGAATAATAATAATCTAATATTTTACTTGCATGCTATGTGCTAGGCACATAACACTATGATGTAGGTGCCACTTCATGGATAAGAAAACTGTAACATCTCACAGTAAAGTTTATGAGATGAACCACCTCAGCAGGCTTAGAAAAAAATTATTGACAAAGAGACAGGTGGAGATGCAAATGGAGATACCAATTGCAGGGTAAATGGTATGAATTAGAGAGAACCCATTCTGAGTTCTAGTTCTAGTTTCTACTTTTGCATCTATCAAAGCACGCTGAAAGAGAAGTGAACCTTAGTGAGAATGTGTTGATGAAGGACCATCACAGAGTCTCCTAGTACTGATCAAGAGCCAGATGTCTTCCATTCAACAATGGTCTTACTGCAGCCTTCAAGAAAACCTTTGCCTATTCTTTCTTCTCCATCTTATTTATACTCTTTTTCCTCATCCCAAATGTTCTCCTGTTGGGAGCCACAGGGTTGCAAAGAAGGCCTTCACTCACTCCTTTAAGCCAGGAATCTCAAAATGGTGACCCAGAGATTGCATCTAACCTGTAGGCATGTTTTGTCTGGCCATTATGGGGGGGGGGAGAGAGAGAGAGAGAGAGAGAGAGAGAGAGAGAGAGAGAGAGAGAGAAGAGAGAGAGAGGAGAGAGAGAGGAGAGAGGAGAGAGAGAGAATGAATTAGTCACCAGTGCCTACTTGGGGGATTCATTAAAAATATAGTTGAAGTTTTCTTGAAAGATAAGAAAGTTTGGTGACTGGGGCCTTCTCCTACCCTGTCCCCTGACATTGGTTGGACTTAGTGGAGTGTGAGGATGTCCAGTCAGCAAATCTGTATCACTTCCTATTTCAATATGTCTAATTGCATTTCAGATCTGTCATCTTTAGATATTTGAACTTGCTACCTTCTGCTTTAAGTCAGCATTGTCTCCTTTGAAAATGCAAATTGTTCTGGAACAGGAATCAAATAAGCAAGAAGTTGACAGGATAAGTTCTTTACTAGAGGTGCAAGAAAAGTGAAAGTCAAGTCAAAAGTCCTTCTCCAGAAATAGGGTAGCAAGGTAAAAAAAAAAAAAAAGAAAGATATTAGGATGGAAGACATATGCCTGGCAGGTAGTAAGCATTCAAGACATTTTATTGAATAAGTAAAGGAGGAGCAACATGTTATCAGCAGTCTTCCGAAGTCAAGATTTTGCACTGAGTTGCACAGGCTCCAACCATCACTGACATGTACTCTCTATGCACCAGGGTGGATTCAGATGACGACATCTTGCATGGTTCATCCTGGATCCTTATCATACCCATAGTTCCTAAAAAAAATATGGGACCATATATCTTAGAGTAAAAATGAAAACAAAGCCCAACCAAAGATTCATCTGTCACTTGAATTCAAATTAGTTCAAACATGGTCATTATTTGCACCACTGCATGCCTGGCCCTTTCCCAGACTTTATAATAAGATGAACCAGAAGAATTTCTGGTCCTCATACAACTGAGTCCTGTTAGGAATTCAGAAAAGAAAGGAGCAATTACCGAGTGGAACAAGTTCCATGATACAGGTGGTATAACAGGAGCACCTGTGAAGAGAGCCAGCTGTATCTTCATTAGCTTCTATGATGTCTTTGTTAGAACTAAGGAAGGACTTCCTCTTCAAAAAACATGTAACCCAACTCAGGGCATATTACTTATTAAATGTAGCTTGGGTTTAAAATGAGGTGTCTTTACCTGTTCCTTTATCCACCAATGAAGAGATGCTGTTAGGAAGTCATTTGTATCAATTAGTATATACTCTGCTACAAGTAACCAAAAAACCAATTAATTATCACTTTAATTGTGGTGATTTACTGATTAACTAACAAAAAGCTAGAAGTTGGCTTATCCAGTCTTGATGAAGAAGTTCAATGGTCTTTCAGTGGTTCCTGGGTCAATGTCTCAGCTATGTCTCATTTTCTCCTTATGATCACAAGGCGATTGGTGTGGATCTATCATCATTGTCAATAGCAAGAAATGGGGCAGGAAGAGTGACCAGACAACTCTCCTATGTTCCCTGTTCTCTTTCCATAAAGCGAACCCAGCAGAAGTCTACATTGTTGTGTGAGTATCTCCTCCTACACAATTGAATTGAAAGATTCCCTCCTGCAGGAAGGAGGTTCATAAAGTGGGGAAGCTATTGAAACTTATTAGGCTCAGGAATCTCATGAAATTACAAAACTCAAGAAGCTTAGGAAGTTTCAGGACTCATGAGGGCCCACCCCAAGGTTATATAAACAATAAACTCTTGCTGGTGAAAGGGCCAGACATTCTTTGTGCTATCTACTTCAGGTTCAGCAGGGACCCCCACAGGTGCAGCTTTGGTAAGTTGCCATTCATGTTGGGATAAGCATCTTAATAATGCAGCAATGTTGGAGTCACCCAGACACCACAATAAACTCATGGGTTCACCAAGCCAGACTTGGATGTTTCTGAGGCCTGCCATCTCTGCTGTATCGGAAGTGAATAGACATTTGTTCATGTCTCCCTAGGAAAAGTCACACAAAACAAAGAAGAGGAGTGGTTTCATGGCCCCTGTGTTTGGTGATAAGATGTCAAACTGAGGTTAATCTGAGTGTAGAATGTCTTCAGGGGCAATCCTAATATGGACATGTGATATGCGATTATGGACCTTATTGCATCTCTGTATTCATCCTTGTATAATCCCTGCTTTCAAGTGTTCAGACATGTAACTGCAACCAAGGCTGAGATGTATGAGAGTGGTGTGCTCCTGGGGTAGAGGGGGATCTCAGAGTAGCCATCTTCCTCTGTCTGCTTTGAGGTGGCATCTCTCTTGATGAATGGGGGCCTGTCATTCAAGAATAAGGATATTCTCCAAATGGCTGATAGACTAGAGAATATGTTGCAATCCCTTAAAGTAAGCATGTATAGAGCAGGATCATAAACAGGCTTGGATGCAGTTGTGTGACCTTTGTTGCAGATAATAAAATATGCTATTGAAGCTGAGCTGTCTGCCAGAAAGAACGTGATCATGTAAGCAAAGAATCCAATGGGAAGAAGACATGAAGATGCCCTACTTTGCACTAGCCTCTGATTTGGCAGGAAGAAAATGGAGAAAAGAGAAGATGAGAGGCTTATTGTCTCTTACAGTTGGTGAGCAACAAGGGAAAGAGAGTACAAATTATATGTGTTAGAGAGCTCTTCCTGGGATCCAAAAAACTTGGAACCCATGGCAGGAATAAGAAAAGACGAGTCATGGGAGAAACAGAGCAAGGGAGAAGTGGTAGAAGATGCTCCTTAGATCGGAACTTAACACAGAGGAAGAGAAATCCATTATCTAATATGCAAATGCAGGCTTTGATAGTTGCCCAGTGTGGTGGTTTGAATGAAAATGTCCCCCATAGACTCCAAGTATTTGGACCTTTTGTCCCCAGATGGTGGTGCTTTTTTGGGAGGTTTTAGAAGGTGTGGCTATTCTGGAGGAAGCACGTCACTGGGGGTGGGCTTAGAGAGTTCTTAAGGCTTGCCGGATCTCCAGTTGCTCTCTTGCTTCCTGTACCTGCTTGATGATGTGAGAGCTTAGCTTCTGCTGCGCCTGCTCCAGCCACCTCCAGCCACCATGCCTCCCTGCCATGACGGACTGTAATTCCTCTGGAACCTTAAGCTCAAATAAACTCTTCCTTCTATAAATTTCTTGGGTCAGTGTTTCTATCACAGCAACAGAAAAGTGACTAAAATACCCAGTACAGGGGATTGTGATAATCAGAGGATATTCTGCTTTTGAACTGCTTGAATTGGGAAAAACTTTTACATAGTAAATGATTCTCTCACAGATTGGCTCAAGAGGTTGTAAGATATAAGAGTAGATGGGATTAGTTTGAGTGCATTGGAAATACTGAAAGAGAGTAATGTAACTACTCATGTCCTATTGAGACAATGACTGCAGAACCTGAGGCAATATGAGGGAAAACAGTCCATGTATGAGCCATTAGGGATAATTGGTTATCAATAAATGAGGTCCCCATGAATATTAGGGACTGCAAAATGATAGAAAAATGACAAACATTATTGGGGTAATTGGGCATATGAGAGAAGGTCCTGATAGGACTGTGTTCACAGCAGAGTTAAGAAAAAGGTGATTCAGCAAGGACCTCAGGACTGATATAGAGTGGCTTTGTTGGGCTCCATGTGCAGCATGACCTTTATGAGGTTGGAGAGACTCTGGCAGATCTTATGACTTAAAACAGCATGTAAATTAGATTTGTAAAGTGCTCCAGTATTCAGGAGATAAGAAAAAGGGAAAGCAAATTGTGGGATCTTCCTGGATCTCTCAAAAGAAAATGTGGCAAGGTTTGCATGGAGCCAGAGATCTCTGGAAAATAGTTGACAGAAAGTCAAATGCTTGCTACAGAGCCTCTAGAGGGCTTTAACACCTAAGCAACAGTTTATGAAGGGGAAATAAACAATGAGACAGAATAGAACTGGTGAAAAAAGATTAAGCTTGTCCTAGGGATGGACAGCTATTCCCCCAGAGTATGCTTTCTCCCACATAAGAAAGCATGCTTGGAATAGAGATTGTGTGACTATCCCAAGACCCTTTCAGCTGCCACAGTTGGTTGATTGTGCCAGTTCTCAGAGCCTGTCAGAACCAGATAGCCTGTTCCAACAGTGAATGAGGCAGGTAAGATCATATCTCTCTCTGTTCCCCCTTGTCCCTGAGGTGGACAGAATACTGCAAACTGCCCCTGTCAAGCTCATGAGGTGTGGGGAAATGAATGGTATCCCTATGCAATGCACCAGAGTTAGGACATGGAATGACTGATATAGAGAATGATTGTGGATTATAAAGAGTTAAATAAGACAATGTCTCCTATCCATATCCAACACTGCTTGGTTGATGAAACAATTGACAGAAGTTATGGGACTTTTTCATGCTGTGTTGTACCTTACAGTGTATTGCTTATTTTTGCCCTAGCTGCTGAATCCTGAATCCCAAAACCAATTGGCATTTACTAGGAATGAGTAGTGGTGGGCCTTCAGAAATCTTCCTTGTCCTACATAAAAAGACTTTCATTATATAATGTTAATGCTTGAGGGCCTTACAGATTTGGAAAAGCATCTGGAAAAACATGAAATTTTTAAAAAAGCAGTTAAAAAGTTCAAATGAAGTCATTCTGTGTAAGTAGAAAAAGGGGCATAAGGTTGAGTGAATATCTTAATGCCAGACATAGGCTATGTTCCTGAACTGTTGTCCAGAGAGGCCCCTGAGGCCCTCCAAATAATTTAGTCTATTGGCATTGCGGTTGGTTGCATACCAGAGCTAGAATGATGTTTCTATTACTGAAGATTCTGCACTCTTTGGCTAAAGTATGTGGAGAAATTGGGCTAAGAAACTCCTCTCTGGAAACTCCTCTCTGCTGGCTGGGATTGGCAGATTGCTGCAGAAGAATTATAACTAATAATTCTGCTTGTCTATGGCTCCTACATGCTACACCACCAGCATGCCAGACAAGATGATCCCACTGGTGCAACAATGGCATGGCTGTTATGGATACAACCAATTGCTTTCCATTTGGATTTCAAACTTGTTCCACAGGAAGGAACTCATATTTGGTACTGTAAGCCAGTACAGAGACCTATGGCAGAATTTATCATAGGCCCTATAGACTGGCAGAAGCCACTGCTACTGTTTTGTTAAACAAATGTGATGTACTTGTCAAATTGTCTTCTAAACATTTGTGTTTATGCTCATCATGTGTTATTGATGCTATTAGCCTCAATGATAGAGGGAAATTTCTTTTTCTACAGTGGTTAATGGTTACTGCAGAGACTCATAACTGATCAGTGTGTTAAGAATAAATGACTATTGCTATGACAAAGTGACTCAATGCTTAGCCACAAGTGGAAGAAAGTAATCAGACTTTTACAACAATGCCTCTAAGACTCAGGGAACATTGTAGAAGAAGGGTTTGGAAAGAAATCTAAGAGCCAGAGGAAGGGGTGGAATACTACTTAGTTATTTCTTCTGGATTACTTGAAACATTCTCTTCTTGAGGGAGTAGGGAGGATCATAGGACTCAGGAAACTAAGGAAATTTAGAAGGCTTAGGATACTGTTCATCTTATAAGCCTTAGGGAGCTCATTATATTACAAGATTCATGATGTTTCTCCCAAAGGTTATACAAGTAGTAAGTAGTTGTTGGATGTATTTTACAGTTGTCTCATTACTGCAACAGAATACCTGACAAAAACAGCTTAAGTAAGAAAAGGCTTATTTTGGCTCACAGTTCCGGGAGGAGGGCACAGTCCATCATGGTAGGAAATGTATGCTGACAGGAGCAAGAAGCAGGTGGTCACTTTACATCTACAGTCAGGAAGCAGTGATGAGGATCCTTCTCCTTTATGGGCATTATGGGATCTGAGTAATGGAATGATACTGTCCACATCTATCTCAATTAGCCTAATGTAGATAATCCTTCACAGGCATACCCAGAGTCTTGTTTGCATGGTGATTCTAGTTGCCATGAAGTTGACACGATTAACCATTATGTTTGGAAAAGGTAGACTGCAAGTCGAGCAGAGATCTCCAGGAATGCAGTTGTCATGAATCATCACCAGTGCTCAGGTGGGCCTTTTAAGGATGCCTCTGCCTTTGAGTCACTCATGATCTTGCAAGTCACCCTAACCAACTCATTATTTGATCAAGTTAGGCTAGGATGGGGTTGTTTCTTTGGTTTGTCATTGGTGCCTAATCTGACTGGATAGACATTTGTTCAGGTCTACTTAAGAATAGTCACCCAACACACATATTTCATAAATTAGAGTTAGTTCACAAGACCATTGTGAAAGTCAGGCTAGAGGAGCAAGACATGTCACTTTTAGTCTTCTGAGAAGGAGTGCTGTGGGCAAAAGTAAGTTTGGAAATGTTTCTTGGTTGGGCAATTAATACTGTCAGCCATTCTAATGCAGATTTGGAAAGTGTGATAAGGGTTCCTAAGAAAGAGCTGCTGGATCTGAATCCAGGAGAATTTGTTGACTCTAAGACAGTAGAGAGGAGACCAGAGGATAGAGATTGTAGGGAACAATGGACGGATAGTATAAGAGCATGGTGGCAGATTCTACAAAGTATGATAAAGATTGTAAGAACATTTTTAAAAAGTATGACGAGATAGAGGGTGGAAGAAGGCTTAACTTAATAATGAGGGGAATGGTGTACTATATGGAGAAGATAAACTGTAAACTGCTCTCTTAAAGTAGGTGCTGTAAGTCCTGATGTGTCAGTAAGATATGTAAAATTTTGAAATGTGTAGAACCCTGCATCATGTCAGGTATCTGGAAACTCACTATGTGGTGTCCTAAGAGTGAGCTCATGACTGAAACGCCTTGAAATTTTTTAGCTGTCCTTTGAAAAACAAAATCGTATAGAATGCATGACAATGACAGCAGGGACTAGGCTGTTGACAATGAAGACAGTTAATATTTGCACTTGCTATCAGCAGACACCATCTAAGAAGTTTACACATAGAGAATCATGAACTCTTTTCAGCAGCTCAACAAAGCAAGTACCGTTAATTTCCCATTTGGTAGCTGGAACAAACTGAGTCACAGATAAGCTAAAGTGTCTTGACCAAGCTCATTGTAGCCTGTCTAAACTAGGAAACTGCTACAGACACTGATGTTTAAAATTCTTCTGGGTGTCCTTGGTATTGTATTAACCATCTGTGTACTTTATGTTTGATCCAACATAGATTAATCCTAACCACCTGGGGTTGCATGGCTAACATGTCAAGCACTGCAAGGGTGGTTGGGGGTTGGGGAGGGGCGGAAACAAGAACTGGCTGGTGTTCACTAAGGATTGCTTTGCTAGGGAGAATATCCTGAAAGCAAAGGAGCCTGGCTGAGAGGGACCAATATGTTAATGTGAACGTTTTATTAAAACCTTAGCTGTGGTTTCTGGTCCAATAAAATGTTTTGTTTAGCACCTAATCAGAGCTACTGGCACCACCCACGTCCTGTGGCAGACAATAGACTCAGGCAGTTTGGGTCACTGATTTCAGCTCTCTACTCCCCTTTTTTTCCTACCACAAATCTTACATTAAATATGCTATATGAGGCTTTGGGGATGGTGAGAGGAACAGAATACAATCATTGTCCTTGGGGAAATCAGGCAGTCATGTTTGTCTTCTTTCCCAGCATGCTGGGTGTCTCTCTATATTCTCCTTGGAAAAGATGGAAGGATATTTTTCATTCTCAGGTTTGGCCCAGGTGCCAAGGAAGCAGCTCAAAGTGATAAAAAGAATGTGAGATGAGAAATGGGGAGACTAAGACCCTGCATCTGTGAGTTCACCAGACTGGGCAAGGGGTGCAGGAAGAACAGCAGACTTGGAGATGCAGATTCTATTATACTTTTGACTGGGTGATTGCTTGCCTCTGCATCTAACCAGCATGCAGAAAGTCTTAGCAATAG